TCTTTCCCTGCTAGGGTTAGCTTACTTTGGGTAGACGTTTCCCCATTAAGATATATACTGTGCAAAGCTTGTCTGAGAATTGGGAATTTTCAACTTCTCATGGTTGTTATTAATAAAAGTAAACAGAAAATTTTCTTCCTAGACTTTCCCTTCCTAGACATTTCCTTCATAGACATTGCTAGACATTTTTAAAGAGCTAACCTTTACTATGTGCCAGGCATTGTCTCAAGCACTTTGTAGATACCAACTCATTTAATCTTCACAAAACAACCCCATGAAGTAGGTAGTATCATATAATCCCCATTTTAAAAATGGAAAATTGAAGTACGGAGAGGTTAAATTCAAGGTCACGCAGCTAGTAAATGCTGGAGCTATGATGGGAACCAGGCAGTCTAGCTCTAGGAGCCTTCATACTTTGTCTCTCTTGGTAATTATTAGTGAGGTAGCAATATAAAGTGCTCATGCTTTTAATTTAAGATGTCTGATTGATTTTTCTCTTGTATATTTTATTGACAGCATTTATGAATGCAGCCTGTTGTGCAAATGTAATCGACAAATGTGTCAAAACCGAGTTGTCCAACATGGACCTCAAGTGAGGCTACAAGTATTCAAAACTGAGAAGAAGGGATGGGGAGTACGCTGCCTAGATGACATTGACAGAGGGACGTTTGTTTGCATTTATTCAGGTAAAGCAAAGGTTTACTTTCACATTACTCTATAGTAAGATCTACATTTCTGAATCTCCATTTTACTAGTCAGGGCCACTGAGATCTTATAGCAAGGGCAAGAGAAACAATATATAGGAGCAGCACCAGAGAAAGACAAGTGACTGGGAAATTGAGCCCTGAAGGGATGAAATGCCTTAGGAGGAGGTATCAGGTGTTCCAGAAAAGAAAGGCTAAGGGATAAAACTTGGGTTATTGTGTGAGGCACATTTTTTGGTCTCTGTGGCTGCAGATGCTTTGGGGTAAGGTAAGAAAGCTTCCTATTTAAATAGGAAATCTAAATGACTGATTTGCTAAGGTAAAGATTATTAATCAAAGACTGTCTTGTTCAGTGTCTTGAGCTATTAGAATTTAATAGGTTAACATTGTAATAAATACCTTCAGGTGATGATTCAGGTGATGATTCAGGCAAAGCAGTTCACTCCATTTCAGGGACTCAAGAGAATTGCCCATGTTCTGAGCGAAACTTTCCAACCAGCGTGTTACAGTTGTGCAATTACTGATTCTTTCAGGCCATATCCCACAGGCCAGACACGTTGGTCTCTAGTTGTCTCTTCCTTTTACCCCAGAGTGTCAGGCAAAAATCCTCACTTTCTGTGCATACCATGAAATGAGAAAGGTTGGAGAAACACGACTCTCAACGCAATCTAAAGGAAATGTGCTAGGCAGCAGGGACTAGAGCAACCCTCCTCATCTGAAATTCCATGTTCACTTCAGTGAGGGCAAGAATTATCAGAGTTCAGAATAGTCACACCTGGATCCCTGCTACGTACCACTTATAGACACACATACTACACAACTTACCTAGACAATTCATCTCTCATGTTTCTCAAAATAACTCTTTGATGCTGCCCGTAAAATGCCAAATCGTGTCCAGAAAGTATTCATTGGCTTTATCTGCATCGCTAGAAAATGCACCTAAGTTATCTCTCTGATCTAGTTGCTAATTTTGACTTGTTAACTATAATTTTGAGTTCCTTGAAAGAAAATGCGTAAGCTTCAAATGAAGATTTTAATTACACTAGGGCTTAATATGAGAATAGGCACATATCACCACAGATTTAAATAGGTCACTTTATAAAAAGAGTAAAGGTTTTAAATGATAAAGCATTTATAACTAGACACAAAAGCTGAAATTTTAAGACTAGAGTTCACCTCTCTAATTTTCTAGAATGCTTTCTGATCTGTATTTTTGTTGTATATTATTGTAGTTAAATCTCTTCTCTTTCATGTTATACCACAACAGACAAATACTTCTTTTAGATGCCCTATATTTTTTCATGTACTGGGAGATACGAAATCTCTTCTTGGTCTTTTATATATTATTTCTTACAAAAGCTTTCTAGGATGAGTTAGTGTTTATCTTCATTCTAGAAATAAGGTGTACCTTACAGGGTTCTTTAGTAATGGAGCAGAAGAGATGCCCTTTTGTTGCTAGTAATTGTGTTATTTTTTGTTCTGTTAAGCTCTTTTACTTTTTTCTTTTAGGAAGATTACTAAGCAGATCTAACACTGAGAAACCTGATGCTATTGACGAAAATGGAAAAGAAGAGAATATTATGAAAAATATGTTTTCAAAAAAGAGGAAAATAGAAGTTGCAGATTGTGAGGTTGAAGTTATCCCATTAGAATTGGAGACATATCCTAGAAGTGCTGTGACTGAGGAGTGTCCACCTAAGCTCCATAATAATCCCAAAGAGCCTATTATGTGAGTGAGATCTTATGAACCCAATCAAGATTGATCTATACTGTATACTATTGATCAAGAGTAGTTCTTTCTCTTTCTTTCTTACTTTCCACCTCCACTCTTATATATCTCCTGTATGTCAACTTGCTTCACAGTTGTAAGTTTAACACTGTGAGAAATCTAGGGCACTTAGATTTAAAAATCTAGCCAACATACTTTATTTCCTCAGTTTCCATTTGTGGAGTTTTACCTTTAAAAACTTTGACTTTAATCAGGTTCTTTATGGATGTCATAACTTTTGCAGTTCTTGTTTTCTATCACCGTTTTATTTGCAGAGCTTTTCTTAGGTTTTCTTCAGTTTTTTAATATACTTCAAAAATGATTGACTTTAAAATATGATTATACTTTTTTCTTCTAGTGAGGGGTAGGCAGAGATGTTATAACTTAGATTAATTTCTAATGGATATTTATGTACCAGTGAAGCTATCTATATTTCAGGGCACAATAAAGAGCATTTTTAGTGATATACAGAATAACTTTTTTTCTTTTCAGAGAAATGAAATGTAACAATATTTCAAGAATTCAGTATCATTCAGTCATTAGAAGTCCTAAAACCAAGACGGCCAGTATTCAACACAATGGGAAAAATATGGTAAAAACTACAAAATGTAGATGGTGCCCTTCTGAGAACATTAACTATTACTTAGTTCAGATTGTTTGTGTTACTTAATAATGTGTAGGATTTCTTTTATTATTTTGTAATGTGCTGTTAAAGTGTTAGGACTATGTTTTATTTACTTAGTATCCTCCATGGTGGTTGGCATGTTCCCAACTTAGATATATAAGGAGAGTGTTGGTCATGATCTGACAGTGTATTCTACTGAGACTGAGAGCTATCCAGTCTAAGAATTTGTAGAAGAAGCTAAAGTGTTCAAGAGTTGATAGTATTACATAATAAGAAAAAAAGGATGGAGTAATTTAAGTTAAGGAGAGATGGTTGTGAGATGTAGCAGAAAGAAGAGAAGCAGCCTAATGAAAGAATCATCAAGAAAGCAACATTTTAAAATAACAAAAATAAAAAGACAAAAAAAGAAAGCAACATTTTACATGATAGCCTCTGAAGGTACACTTTTCAGTCTGTACTGAGAAGAATAGTCAGAGACTGTAACTTCGAAACAGAATGATGCAGGAAAAAAAGAACAGGCAGACATAATGGTAGTCCACAGTAAGGCTTATTGATGAAAAATAAAAACTCTGCCCTAGGTGGTGTGCAAATATTTGCCCTCTGCCTAGTAACATTCAGTAGGTACCTCCTCAGTACCACATGATTATGAAAAGATTGGGCCAGGGGATCACATAGGCTTGGGTTTGCCCTCCAGCACTGCAGCTTACTAGCTGCTTGACATCTCTCTGTCTACATTTCTTTATCTGTAGAATGAGAATAATAGTATCTGTCTCAGAGTTAAGAGTATTAAATGAAATAAACATCAGAAACTTTGTGTAGCCCAGTGCTTGACACCCAACTAAGTGCTCCACACATGTTGACCATTGAAGTACATAAATAATAATAATAATGGTCAACATGTATGGAGCACTTAGTTGAGTACCAAGCATTGTGCTCAGCATATACCCCTTTTTGAAAGTTATCATTACCATTTAAAGTGACTTCAGTGTCTGCAACTCATGGAGACAGGCAATTCCTTTAACCTTTTCTTTGAAGTAACTAGCCAAAGAGTGTTTTTAATCTTTGCACATCTTATAGTTGAAGCCAAATTTGTAATCTGGCATCAGAATTGAGGGATACAGACAGGTGTATTTGAATTTTATTTTGAACTTATAATGCCTAAAGAGTGTCTTGACAGTCCTTATAATTTTCATAGCTGTTGCTCACTAAAGTGCCTAGGAGTAAAATACAGCCATAAGGGCTCTATCACTTCAGAAAGGCTTTCAAAACTAATCTAGTAGCTATAGCCTGTGAAGATTGACACTTGGTGAAAGAGGCCTTACTGCTAAATTAAATTTTTTTTCCTGACCTAGGAAGTAAAGACATCTTCCTTGTTTTCTTTTAAGGGATTTACTTCCTCAGAGTCTGTCACCTCAGAAGATAATGGTGGATTTAAACCAACTCAAGTACATCTGAACTCTAAAGCCAAGGAAATGAGAGGTAGGCTTTGTTTCAGTCTGATTGTCTGCCTTTTCTGCCTTTTTGTCTCTCTTGCTCAGTACTTGTGGCTCATTTTCTCAGACTGCATAACAAAAATGTGGCATTCATCACAAGAGTTTCTACTTGTTTAGATCAGAGGTTGGCAAACTATAATTGGTGGGCCAAATCCAGCCCACTACCTGTTTATGTATAGCCTATGAGCTAAGATAATTTTTACCTTTTAAATAATAACTGAGAAAAAATGGGAAGATAAGTAATACTTTGTGACACTTGAAAATTATAGGAAATTATAATTTCAGTGTTCCTAAATAAAGTTGTATTGGAACAGAGCCACACTCTTTCATTTACATGTTGTCTCTACTTTCACACTATAGCAGCAGACTGAATAGTCACAACGGAGACCATGTGGCCCACAAAACTTACAGTATTTACCGTTTGGCCCCTTACAGGAGAAGTTTGCTGACCCCTGGTCTAGATGCCAATCATGACTTGATGCGTGGCAGGAGAATGGGGTGGTCAGCTCCATGTCTGCATAGTCCATCTATGGCTTTGGAAGCATTGTCCAATGCAGCTGTTTCCTAACTCTTTGTTTAGGCTCCTTAAAAATAAAGACACATCATTCTCCTGCAGTATTCTAGGCAGTGCTGCTGCAGGGGATGCTTAACAAAAAGTGTAAATATTGCTACCCTGAGTGCTTATCTTTCAGTGTTACCGGACCTGCCATGGTTAATATTACAACCTGACAAACTTGGATTTTGGTTCATTTGCATTTCAATATATCCCTCAGTGGAGAGGCATTGCTGAGACATGACCCTTTGTGAAGAACTGACCAACCATTGCCTCTTCTGCCTTCGGGCTTCCTTGCATCTGCACCCCCAACTCCCCACCTGGTCTTAAAGGATGGAGACTGGGGGAGGCAAGGCAGCTCCTTGACAGAAAAGGTCTATCAAGAAAGGGCACTTACAATAATTTCACCTGTAGAGGAGGAAAATCTCTTTCTATCCATCTTAAGCTGTCTAGCCAGAGCCCTGTAAATTAGACTGACAAAAGACAGATTGACAAGAGAAAAACAAAAGTTTATTAGTATGCATATTATACACATAACACATGAGTACTCAGAGATGAGTAACTCAGAGAGATGGCTTAGAACTCTGGCTTATCTAGTATCTTAGTCAAAGAACAATAAATTTTTAGAGGAATAACAAGACAAAGGAAAAGGGCCTTGAATCTCTCGGGGTGGAAATTGTGGGAACCCAGATATATGTGAAACCAATGGTAGATAAAGGCTAGTTAGTCAAGTATGCTATGTAGATTGCTTTGGTTCAGTCTCCAAGCTGACAAAGGTCTAAAGTTATCTCTGGTAATTAACTTTTGTCCTTCCTAGTATTATAATGGAGAGACACCTTTGTAAATTTATATCCTGCTTTTAGACAGATGGGGGGAGGGCTGAGCTTTTCCTGTATTGCTACTTAATTGCCCTTAGCTCAAAATAGTCCTTATGTCAGAGATGCATATTTTGGGATGACATTCTGATATATCACCATTTAATGCATGTGAGCCATACGACTACTGTTACTTTTGGTTCTTTTGTCATTTCCATTGACTACTACAATGTATATAGCAGGCACCACAAAAATTAGTTATGTACTATTATGGCTCACAAGTAACCCATGATTAAAATACGAGTACATGTAGGAGTAGCAGCCAGCAACAGTGATGATTACATCAAAAACATTAATTTTAGAGAAGTATAATTTCTTCATGTCACTGAATTAGGTGACACAAATGACTTTTTTTTTTTTTTTTTTTTTTTTTCTTGCGTTATGCGGGCCTCTCACTGTCGTGGCCTCTCCCATTTGCGGAGCACAGGCTCCGGACGCGCAGGCCCAGCGGCCATGGCTCACGGGCCCAGCCGCTCCGCGGCATGTGGGATCCTCCCGAAACGGGGCACGAACCCGCGTCTCCTGCATCGGCAGGCGGACTCTCAAGCACTGCGCCACCAGGGAAGCCCCCACAAATGACTTTTTAAAAATAAATCATTTTATTCCATTTGACATGCATTCATACTTTTGAATATTTTCAAAAAATTATTTCCATTATTGGATGAGAAAAATAAGTAGTTCATCTTCTTCTAAAGTACTGTTGTTTGTAAAAGTGTAATTATTGAATGATCATCTAGTAAAAACTCCAAACACTAATGTATACAAAACCCATAGCAAGTTATTACTATTGGGACTTACAGAGGGTGACTCCATCAGGGTCTCCTCAGGCCTTTCATTGGTATATTAAAGGCCTAAAGTGCTCCCTAGATACCCTCTCTGTTACAGCTGTTTAGAGTACACTTAAATGCAGATTCCAAAGTTGAAGAGAGGTAAGTCAATTTCTAAGGAGTAGAGATTAAATATAGTAACAGGAAGCAGCATGTATACAGATTCATAAAAAGGCATTGTTATGTAGTAGAAAGAAGGCAGGCTTTGCGGTCAGATATTTCTGGGTTTCTTACCCCACTTCTCATTACTGCTGCTAGTTAGGTGAATCCCTTAAGCCTTCAGAGGCTTGAAGTTTTCATTTGTAAAATTGGAGTACTGTCTACCTTAATACATTGTAAGGATCAGCAATAATTAGCACAGCTTGCATTTAATTAGTATTGTTACTCTCAGCACTATCGCCCAGCCAATTATATTTCCTGACAATTCCTTCCACAATGTTTATTAGAGGACTCAAGCTCAAACCAAGCTGAAGATTCTGAAGACACCCCTGTGATTGAATCAGATGTGATAGATATAACTAAATGTAGAGAAGAAACTCCACCAGGGGGCAGATGTCACCAAACAGTCACACTGGATGATCAGTATGAGATTCAAATACAAAAGCCCCAAGAGGAAAAATCTCCAGCATGTCAAAACCAGCAGGTCTTTTGTGATAAAGAGTTACCAAGTGAAACCAAGAATGCTTCATCTGATTCTCTAAAGAAGTTCAATAAAGGGAGTGTGTTTTTATTGGATGCCACAAAAGAAGGAAATGTGGGCCGCTTCCTTAATGTGAGTATATGGGCTGAGGTTCCTATGTCTAAACACATTTTTTTTCCCTAGGCTTCTTAACAAAATCATGAGGAAAATATGATTAAAAGACTCCAAAGCTAGACTACCTAGATTAGAATGCCAGTCCTAACCAAATATACTTCAATTAAAAAAATAAAAAATAAATGCCAGTCCTCCACTTTCATGACCTGGGGCATGTTACTTGACCTCTCTATGCTGTATTTCCCACTCCTATAATATGGAGATAATAATAATAATAACTGTCTAGGATGTTATAAAGATTAAATGTATTATATATAAAGTGCTTAAAAGGTACCTAGCACACAGTAAACATTTGCTTGAGAAAGCTATAAGAAATAGTAAGAAAATCATATATGTTTATTGAAAGGTTTTCAAGATTCATTACTTCAAAAAAAAATCACAATGGGACACATAGAATAAGCTTTTTTGTGTCTTATATAATACAGTATGTCTTATTCAGAAATGCCTCTATCTATTCAAAAAAATCAGCTGGGAGGTACTTATGTTTTGCTTACTCTCACTAAGTTTTGAGTGGTTTAGTGACTTAGAAAACCAGTACATTTATCAGAATATTGCATTTTACTATCTTACTCCTTTTTTATTCCTAAACCATAGTCGTTTTCTGTTTCTGTGTATGTTTGGGATATATGTAATGAGATTTATTTTTGTTTATACAGAGAAATATTTATGATTTCTCTGATTTTAAGGTTCAAGACTTAAGACTCCTGGCATCTTCATGATAAGAGGGATAACTTGTATTATTGGCCATAACTACTGTGTAGGGTGGAGTTACCTTGTAGCTTTCCCATCATACTGCTATTCTATCCTGCCTCCTACCGTCATACATGCTTATCAAAGAATGTATGGTTCCAGGAATCCTACAGGAAAAAAAATCCCCTTCAACCTCTAGTCCCAGTGTGTATATAGACTCTCTTTGGCCAACTGGACGATGTGGAAGCCACCTGTATGCCCCCTACTCTCTGGGCTCCACTTTGTCCTTGCTTATCCTATCCAGGAGAGTGAAGAGGAGTCGTGGAAGGAGGATGGGAACTTTGATACCCTCCACACATCTTTGGAAAGGTCCACTCTAGTGCTCTGACCCCTGGATATGGCCTTAATTTTTCTCTTTGATCTGTATCAGAGCTCTTCTTCCTCTCTGGGGTTGAATTAGTGGGATGGGCAGCTTTGCTTTTTCCCTTAAAGTAATGGGAAGCATGCATGGCCCATGATTCTTTTATGCATTCCCTTTGCGAAGCTCAACACCCCCTTTTTTTTTTTTGGCCACGCCACACAGCTGGCAGGATCTTAGCTCCCCGACCAGGGATCGAACCTGTGCTCTCAGCAGTGAAAGTGGAGTCCTAACCACCGGACCACCAGGGAATTTCCTCAACACCTCTTTAAAATGACTTTTGAGTAGTTTGAAGTTGATGTTCAGTGATTATTTTTATTTTATTTAATTTTAATTTAATTAATTTATTTTTGGCTACGTTGGGTCTTCGTTGCTGCGCGCGGGCTTTCTCATTGCGGTGGCTTCTCTTGTTGCGGAGCATGGGCTCTAGGCATGCGGGCTTCAGTAGTTGTGGCACACGGGCTCAGTAGTTGTGGCACACGGGCTCAGTAGTTGTGTCTCGCGGGCTCTAGAGCACAGGCTCAGTAGTTGTGGTGCATGGGCTTAGTTGCTCCGTGGCACGTGGGATCTTCCCGGACCATGGCTTGAACCAGTGTCCCCTGCATTGGAAGGTGGGTTCTTAAGCACTACGCCACCAGGGAAGCCCTCAGTGATAATTTTACATGTATTTCAGGTGCCATCAGAAGAGAAAATACTCTTAAGTCAGAAAATCTTTAAAACCAAAGAGGTCTTCTCCTTGCTAGATAAATCTGTTTATTTGGGTTTTTTCTTTTTCTCTGTCCTAGTTAGGAGGATACTTGATTAAGAGGGGACAGAATCCTCTCCTCCCTTCCTCTTTCCTACAACTGCTTTTCTCTATTCCACTTTCACTACTTCTACACTATTGCCAAACATGCTAGGAGCTATTAAACATGCCAGGAGAGCCAGAAGATCATTAAAGAATGATCTCTAGGGCTTCCCTGGTGGCGCAGTGGTTGAGAGTCCGCCTGCCGATGCAGGGGGCACGGGTTCGTGCCCCGGTCTGGGAAGATCCCACATGCCCCAGAGTGGCTGGGTCCGTGAGCCATGGCCGCTGAGCCTGCGCGTCAGGAGCCTGTGCTCCGCAACGGGAGAGGCCACAACAGTGAGAGGCCCGCGTACCGAAAAAAAAAAAAAAAAAGAATGATCTCTAGCAAAGGACTGTTGTGGCTTACTTTCTGGTAGGTTATGTTGAATGGTGGCTGCACTAGAACTATATGGTTGGTTTCACCAGCTGGGTCCATCCCTTCTTTATAGGAGGAAAAAAACAGGGCTTTTCTTTCTTTTTTAATTTAATTTTCTACTTAGATAATACATTCACATGATTTCAAAGTTTAAATAAAATAAAAAGCCTTAGAGAATACATACATACATACAGCCAAACAGAATTCTGTTTCAAGGTAGCTCTGACCCTGCCAAGTAGGCACCATGAGTAAAGCTTACCAGGCCCAAATTGAAAAAACTGTGTGGACAGGAAGTTATCATTGAAATTTAATGGTGGCAAATATATCTGAGGAAAATTTCTGGGATTTGATCCCTTTATGAATCTGGTGATAGATGAATGTGTAGAGGTGGCAGCTAGTGGGCAACAGAACAATATTGGAATGGTGGTAATAGGAGGAAATAGTATCATCATGTTAGAAGCCTTGGAGAAAGGAGAAGGTCATGTTCAGCAGAGAAATCAGTTAACGTGTACAGGTACCCTTTCCAAAGGGTCTGTTTGACTGTGTTGTAAAACTCAGGTCATATACAGTCTTCATATTAAACTTTTTGTTTTGTTTAAAAAAAAATGTACTGTGCCCCCATTCACCCGGCCCCCACTCCACCCTCTATGGTAAAATCATTTTTACTACTTTTTTGTGTATTCTTATTTTCTTTATGCAAATAGAAGTAAATATAAATATATGTTCTTATTCCTACCCATTACATAAAAGATAGCATATTGTATTTACCGTCCTACACTTTGTTTTTTTTAAATTAGCAACGTGCCCTGGAGATCTTTCTAATCAGTACACAGAGCTCCTCGTTCTTTTTATTTATATTAATAGCTGCATAGAATTCCAGTGTGTGGATATCCTAAAGTTCATGTAACCAATCCTCTTTAGATAGATATTTGGATTGTTTCCAAACTTCTACTGTTAAAAACAGTGTTCAATGAATAATCTTACACATGGATACATGTGCAGATATATCTGTCGGATACATTTCCAGATACTGGATTGCTGAATCAAAAGATATGCATCTACAATAACGATAAATATTGACAGATTATCTTCTATAGGGGTTTGCACCATTTTGCATTTCTACTGGAAAGATGTAAGAGTGTCAAAACAGGGCTTTTCTGAATGGATTCCTACCGTCAACAAAATTGTAATGAGCTATGATATTCTATATACTAGTCAGGGAAAAAAAGATATAAACAAAAATAAGTTAGATGTGTTGGAAACAGAATGGTATTCTAATGCTGCAAAGAACAAGGTATCAAACTTGATGCTATGTCTAACCTCTGTGTTTATTTTTTTTAACAGCATAGTTGTTGCCCAAATCTTTTGGTACAGAATGTTTTTGTAGAAACACATGACAGAAATTTTCCATTGGTGGCGTTCTTCACCAACAGGTTTGGAAATTTTTTTTATATGATTTCATTTTGAAATTGTGACTTTAAAAATAACAATAGAAAAGTATTAAGAGAAGATATATGCTATAGCCCCACATATCTGGCACCCTAGAATATTCAGTTATCCCAAACTGTTTGTAGTCAATAAAATTTTAAATAGCTGAAATTTTCATTCTTATTTCCTCTTAGAGTTAATGCCTGGAAAGGCTAAGGATGGCAGGCCTCAGCCAGTTCAGTTCAGAGGATAAATGATGCAGAATGCTACATCTTTGAGTCCAAACTGCCCCCAACTACCACACCACATGCCTCATCACATTACTGGGTTCCACTGTTTGCAAAACACACTTCCTTCCTTGTGGATATTGACAAGTTTCTTCTTACTTATGATTTTAGTAGATTTGAAATAAAACTTAAATGATTATTCTTAATAAAAGAGCATTCCTAATTGGTCGGTGTTGGAGAGGGAGAGAAAACCGTATTTTTGAGGATGGTTAATGATGTTAATATGAAAATTGATATAATCAAATTTGGTTCATTTGGTAGTTATTCAGGGTAATTTATGATTATTTTTAAAATTTCTACTTTCTAGGTATGTGAAAGCAAGAACAGAACTAACATGGGATTATGGTTATGAAGCTGGGACTATGCCTGAAAAAGAAATATTCTGCCAATGTGGGGTTAATAAGTGTAGGAAAAAAATATTATAAATCTGTAGCTAGTGCCTGTTCATGAAATTAGCTTATCAAGCTGAAATTAGAGTCATGCAAAAGAAATCCCAGTGGTCAGTGGAATTAATTTAGGTTATGATCCATCGAGAGAATTCCTCTCAGTTTACCCTTGTTGGGGGGTCCATTTGCATTACTTAGAAACGCTAGGAACAAAATAAGGACATTTTCATATGCATAGGGTGTCTCTTTATTCTTACTGCTGTTCAACTGTACATGAGTAGGATGGAAGTGTATATTTTATATGAAATACTGCTATATAATTTGTAACTTATTTGTAAATTATATATTAAGAAAGACAAATGTCACAATTGATTTCAGCACTTCTTATTGCTTTTGGAATTATCTTTGACTTTCATGGCCCCAAAGGGCCAAAGCTCACATCTTTACCTACAAAATTTATTTAATTCCTGGCAAATAATTTACCATTGTGAACCATAAGGTGGGCAACAGAGCCTGAAGAATCTGTCGAAATTCATTTCATGCATATTACTTCCAAGTATTTTAGTGCTAGTTGGAGAAGCTGTATCTGGCTCCATGAAAGTGTCCCATCAGTCCGTTTGAATGAGAAGGGGGAGAAGCTCTCCTGTGGGGAAGGTTTTGGCACACTCTTTGCGATTCAATTTCTTTTCCACAGATTCTCTTCACTCCTTCCACATAAACACGGACAGGAAAGGAGGGAGTAGAAACTTGGAGGAATTAGAATATTTTTGTTCTAGATAGAGCCTTATGAAAAGGAAACTTAGAAAATAGTCAGACATGGCTTATTTAAGCCAGAAGAGATTGTGCTGGGCAAGAATTTCACTTAACAAAACAAAACAATTCTACTGAACTGTAAAGTCTGAAACAGACCGTTGGACTCTCCTAGGCATGATGTGCAAATTATTTTCCTAGAGAAAGTTACTTTGCTCTAGGTTACCTAACCATGATTGTCTAGTGGAAAGAGGATGAGAATCTCCAAGAGTTAAAACTAATTTTATCTATAACAAAGATATACATTTGGCTGCCAGGAACTTCCCACTAGGAACCAGGATGGGAATACTAGCTCAAAAAGGAGTAATTAAAAGTAGTTCTGGTTTTTGAGGGTTTTTTTTCCTTTTTTCTTTTTTTTTTTGATCTTGATTCTGGGTTTAGTTTGGTTACCTTTCAAACAAAAATCTCTTCTAAGTTTGGACCCAAATAATTTCTTTAAAATATTGAACTAAATAAAAATTTAACTTGAAATTGGTTTAGAGAGTGGGAAACCAAAGAGCTAGGAAAGGGAGCAAAAAATTATAACCCAACAGCCTGAAGACAGATGAGGAAAGCTGAGAAGTCCATTTATTCACAGTAAAGATGCAGGAATTTTAGGCAATGCACTAAAATAAAGTGAAGACACTTGATAAGCATGGAAAATGTTTTTGTGCAGAAATCAACATCTTGATCTGCTTCATGCTGTACTGGTTCACAGCTGTCATCTTCCGTCAGCATCCTAGAGATTCCCTTTGTCTTCCCTATGTCAGGTCTGTTTCCAGTTAGATCCCATTATTTCCCCTTTCCTGGATTTACTCCCACATATTGGTGAAGCACATCCTCCAGTAGCTTTTGAAAGGGAAAAATGAGAGGTGAATATTTTGAGCCCTTGTATGTTTGAACATGTTATTTTACCCTTACACTTGATTGCTATTTTGGCAGGGTATGGGTACTCAGTTCGTGAGTAGCTTCCATACCCAATTTTGAACACATCTGCTACATTCCAATGTTGCTGCTTTGAAGTCTGAAAATGTTCTCACCTCTGGCCTTCAGGGTGACTGTTGGAAGTCAGATTAAAGCCGTTCTTTATCTTTTGTATACATGGCCAGTTTTTTTCAAGCTTATAGCATTCTCTTTGTCCCAGTGTTCTGTTCCCAGTAAGCGTTAGTTTTCATACCTCATACCAGGTGCTTGGTGGGAGGGATCTTTCAATCTGAAAACTTTGTTCTTCAGAGAAATTTTCTTGAACTATATTTCTTTAATGAAATATTTCTGTTGTCTGTTATCTGTTGTCTCTTCCTATTTATCTAGACATTAGACCTCCAGGATTGGTTCTCTCATTTTCTTATCTTTTCTCTTAATTTCCAGCTTTGTCTTCTTGCTCTACTTTCTGGGAGATTTCCTCAACTTAATCTTACAATTTGTCTATTGTGTTGGGTTTTTGTTTGGGGGCTTTTTGCAGGGTGGGGATTGGGTTTTGTTTTGTTCTGGTTAGGTTTTTTTTTTGGTCTCATTTTAAATTTCTAGAGCTCTCCTCTTTTTTTCTTCAATATCCTATTTTTGGTTCATGGTTGCAGTATCTTAGCTCTTTGAAAATACTATTTATATAGTGTAACATACATACAGGCATTCATATCTATATTTTCTTTTTCCTGAATATTCTGTGACCTGCAAGGTTTGTTTCTGTGTTTTCCCTGTATGTGTCCTTTGGTCTTTGTCTTTCATGTTTTAGGCTTTCCTCAGTTAGTTAGTTAGATCTTGGCAGTCTGCTCATTCTTTTTTTTTTTTTTTTTTAAATAAGGGATTTTTTTTTTAACATCTTTATTGGAGTATAATTGCTTTACAATGGTGTGTTAATTTCTGCTGTATAACAAAGTGAATCAGCTATACATATACATACATCCCCATATCTCCTCCCTCTTGTGTCTCCCTCCCACCCTCCCTATCCCACCCCTCTAGGTGGACACAAAGCACCGAGCTGATCTCTCCCTGTGCTATGCGGCTGCTTCCCACTAGCTATCTCTTTTACATTTGGTAGTGTATGTATGTTCATGCCATCTCACTTCGTCCCAGCTTCCCCTTCCCCTCCCTGTGTCCTCAAGTCCATTCTCTATGTCTGCATCTTTATTCCTGTCCTGCCCCTAGGTTCTTCAGAATCATTTTTTTTTTTTAGATTCCATATATGTGTGTTAAGTCTGCTCATTCTTAAGAGTGGGACACTGAAAAGCTGAGATTATAAATTGAGAGCGGGGTAAGGGGTTCTTCAACTGCTTCACCTGACCTAGCTGAGCTCTTCAGTTTCTTATCCAGTCTCTTTAGGACTTTCTTTCTGGCCTGGCAAGGAGTACTCTTCCATCTTACTGCTTGAAAGAAAAAAAACTTTGCTGCCAGAGCGTGCTCTTTTCTCCCGTTTTGCAGCTCCACACTCTTGCTTCTGTAATCCATTTGTGTTTGTCAAGACTATCCAAGTTATCCTTTTTAATATTGTTTCTGTCCCCAGTTTGCCTCCTTTCCTCTCTTTAAAATCTGCTCAAAAAGCAAGACCTCCAGGAGTTTTCCTTTGATTAGTTCCTCAGCAAACCACCAGCTATTACATGCTTCTTTTACAGAGCAACTTATTTTTTAACTGTAATTTAATTATATGCGTTTGTGTTCTCTACATGTGTATTCCATGCACCAAAAACCTTGTCTTGTATGGTGCTGTGTACCCAATGGGTGCTAAATAAAGGCTTGCGACTGCAACTGGAATTACTCTCAGTTAATTCTGCGTCCGTTTATGATAGACCTGTTTAGGCCAGACTTGGTGTGATAACAGTTTTTAGAAAATAATGCATAAACCCTCAGAAGAACAGTCATTCCTCCAGCTGAGTCCAGGGGCTTCGGCCACCTTTACTCCGACTATCGCTTAAGTGGGCGCACGGTGGGGAGCTCCTGGCATGATTTTTTTTTTTTAAAAAGCAATTCAAATTCAGACTCAGATCTGGAGAAGTTGAGAGTTTCTGTTTGAGAACTGCATCTGCAAAGCCGACGTGCCTCTTCCTGCTCGGGACTTTTCCCCCGCGTAGGGGAGATCAATCATCATGATTTCACCAAAACGGACTTCCGGCTGCGCGGGCGCAGTGCGCAGCCATGGAGCCGGCGGGACGTCCTGAGCCCGAGTCGAGCTGCGGCGCCAGCTGGTCCGAGGCCCGGGCTGGACGGGACGTGGTCCCCCACCCAACCGGTGAGTACTAATGGGGCGGGGGGGGGGGCGG